GGCTTGACCAGCAATGCCGGACTCCACCTCCCTTAGCAAGTGCTCTTTTCAGCTCAGGCCTACCAGTACTGACGCTCTGCTGCACTGTCTGTGAGTTCCCGGTCGGGCATTCCACCCCACCCAGCTGTTATATTATTATGCAAGATCTTTAGTACATTGTTTTCTGCACTTCAGCCCTCAGTATGATTGCTGCTGCTGCCACACACGCGCTGCTCCACGCTGTTAATCATGGCAGAAATGCAGTGCCCTTCTCATTTCCTGTGAGCTAAAAAGATGGCAAGAACAATCTTATCTTACTTTTAAGCTTTTTTTTCACTGAATGTAAAAAAAATAGTTAATGAAAAGAATTATTGATACACAAAAAAAAAGGAAAAAAATAAAGAACATTAATGCAATGAGCTACTTCAAATACACCAAAAAAACACTTGTCTAAAAAAAGGTATTTTTGAAAGCAAATTTCACCTATGCAGCGTAATGAATGAAAGTTGGTTTTTGTTACTGTATTAATCCCCACTAGTAAATACAACCTGGAATCACTTCATTCAAACCTCAAAATCATAGTAGAGAAGTGGACATTTTCTAACAGCAATTTTCAAATTGATGTCAAAAGTAGGCACCATTATTAGGGTCCTTCTGAATCTGTGATCTTAAGGGCCCCGTTTGCTGTCCTTCAGACTTTAGGGGGGCTGGACTGTGCCCAGTGGGGGTAAACAATGCCCAATCTTTGATAATAAGGGAAGAAATAGTTGGTGTCAGTGAGAGGAATAGTGCCCCATTTTTCTTGTCAGTGGCAGGAATTATGCCCCATTGTTGGTGTCAGTAGCAGGAAATAATGCCTCAAGGGCTGAATAAAGGCAGGCCCCAGAGCTGCAGTTTGGAGACCACTGCTTTACATTGTCATAATATTAACATGCAGAAATATATAAAATTTACAATTACTGCAAGGTTACAGGCAGTGGTGTATTTAGACTTTGTGCTGCCCTAGGCAACACAAAAAATTCTGGGCCTCCCCAATGAGAGAGTTCAATAAGTGTGTGTATGTATATATGATTCTCTCTTTTTTTCCCTCTGTCCCTCTGTCCTCTTTCTCTCTATTCCCTCTCTCTTTTTCTCTCTCTCTATTCCCTCTCTCTTTCTCTCTCTTCCCTCTATTTTCTTCCCACTCTTTCTCTCTCCCCCCCTCGTCTCCTCTCCCCTGCCTCCCCCCTCTCCTTCTTCCCTCTCTCTCCCTCTCCCCCCCTCTCTCTTCTCTCACCCCTCCTCTCTTTCTCTCTCTTTCTTCCCACTCTTTCTCTCTCTCTTTCCCTCCCCCTCTCTCTCCCCCTTCTCTCCCTCTTCTCTCTCTCTCTCCCCTCTTCCGCCCTCTCTCTCTTTCTTCCCTCTCTCTTCTCTCTCTACTCCCCCCTCTCTTCCTCTCCCTCCCTCCTTCTCTCTCTCCCTCTCTCTCCCCCTCTCTCTCCCCTCTCTCCCTCTTCTCCCCCCCCCCCCCTCTCCCCCCCTCTCTTCCCCGTCTCTTCTCTCCTCTCTCTCCCCCCTCTCTCTCTTCCCCCTCTCTTCCCTTTATCTCCTCCTCTCTCTTCCCTTTCTCTCTCTTCCCTCTTGCTCTCTTCCCCCCCTCTCTATTTCCTTTCTCTCTCTCTCCCCCCCTCTCTCTCTTTTCCGTTTCTCTCTCTCTCTCTCTCTTTCCCCTTTTCTCTCTCTCTCTCTTCCCTTTCTCTCTCTCCCCCCTCTCCCTTCCCTCTCTCTCTCCCCCCCTCTCTCTCCCCCTCTCTCTCCTCCTCCCGCCCCTCTCTCTCTCCCTCTCCTCTTTCTCTCTTCCCCCTCTCTCTCTCTCTCTCTTCCCCCTCTCTCTCTCCCCCACCACCTCCAAGGGCTGCTGATCTCCGGTCAGCAGGAAGTGTGGGCAGGGGGTAGTAATCATACTGTGTGTGTGCAGTCCCCCATATGATCTGTCACTGATCGTATATCATGTGCTGGATGGATGACAGGAAGGAGGGCCCAGAGAACACAACACAGCTCATCTGCTCCTGGCTCTTTCGTCTCTGCCACTTCTCCTCTTCCTGATCCAGGCTTTCCCCTGGTCTTGGCTCTGTGTGTGGGCGGGGGAAGGAGCTCAGAGGAGAGCGGCCACTCAGGAACACCAGGGCACCCCCCCTCCAGGTCTGTCTCCTCCCTCCAGCAGCAAAATGCTGAAGGGAGGGAGGGGGGAGAAAACCTCAAACCGGCTTTCATCTGCTGGAGGAAGAGATAAACAGTGCATCATTTCCGCAACTGCTCTTCCCCACCACACCAATCCTCCTGCTGTCTGGGACACCTACAGGAGTACTGCTGGTACCCCCCTCAGTCCTGCATGGCTCTGTCCACCACTGCTCAACAGGTCCCTTCTTCCAAAAAAAAATTGCCACCCTAGGCAAACACCTTGTTTTGCCTCATGGTAGATACACCCCTGGTTACAGGGGTCCTCCAGAATGATACTGCAACCCCATGAAGAGACCAAACTCATTTAAGGCAAATGAAAACCTCTCATTGATGCACACAGAACACCGAGAATGGACAATTTACTACAAGTGCACAAAACAAATTCCTGCTGATTAATAAAAAGGATATACATAGAATCTCACTAAAAAAAACACATGAAACACACAAGTTTTGGTTGAATACATCTGAGAATGTGTAAAAGCTATGTGCCACTATAAAGGTGAATCCATGATATCATTGGTACAGTTGTTTTGGTTGCAGGCATTTTGTCATAGAGAGAGGAGAGAAAGCCAATTTACAGGTCTGGGGATTTGAAATCCCCGCGGCTTTCTCTCCTCTCCTTGCAGGATGGCAGTACAGGCTACAAAGCTTCTGATCCATGGCATTGCTGACCAATCAAAATACATCTAGCCCATACTGTCATCCCTGCACTTAAAGGAGAGAAAGCCATGAGGATTTCAAATCGATCCCATTTAAAATGGGATCGTTGCAGGGAGGTTTCCCACACCGCACCTGTGTGAACTCAAGCTATGACAAGCCTGGGTTCACACAGGAACAGTGGGGAAAATGCATGCAATCTGTACAGGAATTGCATTCCTGTTCAAATGGCATCCTATTCTTTGCAACCATACATTTTGTATTGACGCGAATCCCACCACAAAAGTATCGGTTTCAGGTATTTGGAGAATTTTTACGAGTACGGGGAATCATGAAAATACTCGGTATTGGCACTGGTGCATTCCTAAATTTATCATTCAAAAAAGTATTGTATTACACCTGAAAGGATAGTACATATGCTGCTGTTCTTTGAGCCTAACCACATACTGAATTTAATTTGACACTAGACAATATCCTTATTCTACAAAAATAAACCATACACATCCACTACTTGATAGCCCTGAAATCTATTTTTCGTGAAATTGTTCCTTAGTGTGTGCTCTGAAGATCACAGATCCCATAGTTTATAGTCAGTCTTTGGAGAGAGAAAAAGAGGGTGGCTACATTACTACATACAATGGGACCATGAAGAAAGTTGTATCCACCCTCTAACAAAAGGATGCATCACAGCAGAAAACAAATAAATAAATAAATAAAATGGACTTTTTTGAGTAAGGAATACATGCTGCTTTTTAACAGGAATGCTCTGTGCCAAGGAGTCTATCCTTGTAGAAGACTTTACAGCCTTCCAGGTTGTCCCCCTTTGAGGAACTCTGCCTTGGAGGCCCTTCCTGCAAATGCTTGATAGCGGATATCTACAATTACATATTCACCATGACCACCGACCCATTCCCCAAATCCATATATGCTGTATGCTTAAATTGGAATGCTGTCTAGATTGGGAACTTGAACTAGACTGAGAGGAGATATGGACTAATACCAGTAAAACTTTTATAAACAGTGAAAACAGTGAAAGCTGTATCATTGGTATTGAGTTTCTTCACACAACTAATCCAATGCTTCTCTGTACTTGCTAGAGATGGAATACCCATATAGGTACTATATACCACAAAATACTGGGAATGTTCCAAATAAAACATTTCCAGAAAACAGTCAAATTCCTCTTAGACACATTTATTGGCCAATCCATCCCTTTTGAACCAGTCCACTTCCTCCTAGGCTAACCCATAACTGACCTGCCTAGGTACTCCTAAAACTAATGAACCACTCTGACTGCTGCAAGATGTCTAATAGCACTGAAATGGAGACACTTAGTCGCACCATCCAAATAAGATCTATATAAAATGCATTTATGATATTTATGATATTCACAACATGGAAAATCTTACTGTGCAGCTAAACAGCTCCTTACACACCTAAGCCAAAACTTGGTTCCCATGGGAATCTATGTTGACACCTTTCTAATGCACTTTTTTTTTCAATAGCCTGTATCTCTCATTGCTGCTAGCATTCTAAACTTAGGCAAGCCATAGATTATACCTGTGGTTGTAGGAAAGACAATTACTTGATGACCCTATCAACACAGCCAGTGTTGATGGAGAAATCCCTCCCGTAGTGCTTTTGTGTTCTCCTCTTTCTTGACAGCAGAATACAATGATTACTGCTGGTAGCTAAAAAATGCTACAGGTTGGTTATACTGATCAACTACCCATAGATGGGTTGAATCTCGGCCAGTGCCTGCTGAACAGGCAAAGATTCGATCTGTCTATGGCCATCTTTACCTTTTGGTCCGGATCACTGGAGGAATTGGCGATCTGTGACCCATTCCATCCTCCATTCCCATCTTGACTATTACTTCAACCTGGTAATCAGTTTAGTATTTTATAATGTTGATATAGTGGTAGACATCTCAGTGACCTCCTCTGAGGATACATATACATCCATGTGTACTCCACTACCACTCACTCACGATAGACTGTATATTCATGGTGTTTACCTACACATGTATACTAAGGCACTACAGATGTTCTTCTTGTTGCAACAACTTTATTTCATGTATTACATAAGATTGTTTATTACTTTTGAACTCATACATTGTGAACACATAGATGTTGTGTATTACAATGTTATACTTTGTCAACATTGAACATAAAGACTTTATAAATGGAAGAAAATGGTGGATAGATAACCAAAGTACATCCAATTCAGTTTTCCTTTGGTTATTAATTCTTTTCAATAGAGGTATCCAGCTTGGTCCAGTGCTAGGAAAGGAAATTCACTCAGGGAATAATGTCTACATTGGATTCCTTTTTGTATATTTTTGTAATTCATTATATTTTGTCCTATCATTCACAGGACAGCCATGCCTCGTGCCATCAGCAGTCCATGTTCTTGTGTTGTTAAACCCTTGTTGTGGAACAGGAAAGGCTCTCACTCTGTTTGAGAATCACGTCATGCCTATGTTGACTGAGGCCAATGCCCGTTTCACTTTGCTGGTGACAGGTACGATGGGTCAAGGAGAATGATAGGTGACACAGAGCTAAACCTTGGTAGATATAGACTTCAACATAGACCTGGGAGAGAAGCTCTTGAGGTCATTGGCAGTGACCAACAGTAAATATATTTACACAGAGAAATAAATGTTAAGGCAACACTAAATTCAAAAGTTAAAGAGCATTTCCAAACAACAAGTGATATCAGTAAGTGAGTTACACATATTATCTATCAACTCTGTTAAAACTGAACTCTGGGATAAGAATATATTGCCTAAATACAAGAGTCATGTATATTCTTCTTCTTGAATCCTGGTGTGCTTTGCCTTCCCTCCTGCCCCCCATGGAAAGAGCCCCAGGAAACAACTTCTTCTGCCCTATATACCCTTTTTCAGAAAGTGACGCAACCGCTCACGCACCTTCGTCCACAGTGACCCCACAGTCACAGGGAATTAACCCATGGATGAACCACATATACAACACTTTAGTCCCTGCCTACAATTAGATATGAGCATCCCTTGAGAATTAGCAGGAGGCAGAGAAATGTAGTTGAATAGCAGGCTGTTTTATTAACATTCTGCCCCATGCTTGTAATTAAACATGATACCTTTGAGAGCCACTAGCTGACATTGCACAGCTGCTAGCCCTGGACCCCACCTGTCACTGACAGCTTCAATTATCTATGGTCAGAAACAAATTAGAGTGGCTCCTGATTTTCTGATCACTTTGTCAGCTATAACATATTGACTACATGCAAGCTGAGGCTTCATTGACAACCCAAGGCTTCAGCCTAAAATTGAACACTGCCATCTTTAGGCTGCAGTGGGATCTGCAATGCAATATATTGAAACATGTAATCGTCAGATACAGTTAAACTATTTAAAAAAATTAAACCATGAAAACATTTCTGTTTTCATTTTTACATAATTGTCAGCCTGTACTAAGAACAAAAGCAATGTACTAAATAAAACATTTTAAATGCCCTTTAAAAATGTTAACAACCATTTAGGTGTGCAAATTAGTCATAGTTATTGTCAAGTTAACCTACCCATGTTGACGCCACTAAATTTGACTAGGCGTCGAGGAAACAGGAGAAATGTAGAGTATATTACTGCTGACCTCTTCTTCTAAAAATGCTAGTTGCTTGGCTTCTATACATCAAGTCACTTGACCTGGAACAGGCATGCAGATAAGGACATCTGAATATACTTTGCATATTTATTTTATTTCTTACTTATTTGTGTTTTGTTCATTTTATTTATTTGTGTTTTTATTTTTTGTATGATTTGTGTTTACTGATAAATGTCGCAAATATCATTGCACTATTACCTAAAGGGTTTGTATATCTATCTTTATTTTGGCTGTTTAGTGCCATTCTTGGTGCTGACTTTAATATTTGCACATCTGAATACAGAATCCAGTATATTAGTATAAAACAGCCAGGCAACCAGCAATTTCAGAAAGAGGAGAGCAAGAGCAACCTCTGTATTTCTCTCTTGGCAGGTTTACGTTTAGGTGGCACTCCAGCCACACAATGTTTTTGTGGATAGAGTTTTGGATAGAATGGGGATAGGTTGAAAGTTCTGTCAGGATTTTATTGCAGTATCCACATTAAGGAAATTCACCCTCGCTTCCTGTCCAGGTTACATTTGTTAGGACAGAGCATCATGGTTCACAATTGCCTTGGGCAACATAAACAAAACTCTAGAGCAATATTAAGAAGGTGTTTGAATGTTAATCACAAAATGGCATTTTTTTCTTTGTTTTTTTTTATTACTCAATAAGAAGTGATTTATTTCTCCTAAATTGACAGAGAGGCCCAACCAGGCATATGAGGTGGTGCGCGACCAGGATCTGTCTAACTGGGATGTGATTGCTGTAATGTCAGGGGATGGACTTATATATGAGGTATCCCTTTTCAAATTGTCTTTACTTTTTAACTTCATTTGTCAGATAATTTTGTGTCTTGAGCCTAACCTATGATTTCAACTCTTTATTACCAGGTCATTAATGGGTTGATGGCACGACAGGATTGGGCAGATGCCATTAAAAAGCCCATTTCTGCTCTTCCAAGTGGTTCAGGAAATGCTCTAGCTGCATCTATCAATTATTATTCTGGGTAAGTAGAAACTACGGTCAAACTATAAATTCACATATTTGATATAGGCTACCCATACCAATAATACTGGGTTCTGTGTCTGTCTATCTACCCCTTGTAACATTTTGTGATTACTCCTTGATCCTGCCAGTAGAACCACTAGATACACTTTGATCGGGTGACAATATTTTTTCTTCTGCAGGGAAATCTCTGCAGAGGTGACACTCTTGCTGCTGCTGTCTTCTTAGATGTCCACCCAGTGATAGTCCTATCAGTGAATATCCATCCCTAAGTTGGCCCATAGTCCTTTGGATTGGGCAGCACAGTGGTTAAATGGTTAGCACTCTTGTCTGGCAGTACTAGGGTTGTTGGTTCAAATCTCAGCCACGGCACCACATGCCTGGAGTTTGCATGTTCTCCATGTGCCTGCATGGGTTTCCTCTGGGTACTCCGGTTTCCTCCCACACTCCAAAGACATGCTGGTAGGTCAATTGGCTCCTGTCTAAAATTGGCCCTAGTATGTGTATGTATGAATGTGAGTTAGGAACCTTAGACTGTATGTCCCTTGAGGGTTAGGGACTGATGTGAATATACAATATATATGTAAACACTGTGTATATTGACAGCACTATATAAGTACCTGAAATAATAATAATAATAATAATTAACAGTACATTGCTCTGTGGGGGCTTTGGGAAAAAAGTGGAAGCCATGCCCAGTCCCTCCCATCACCTCCAGCACTATCCAGCAGGGTGCAAAAGAAATCCAACTTTCCAGCTGTTTTTGCCATTTGCAAAGTAGTAAATTACATTTCGTTTACAAGAACAGTTAACCTTTCTGAACATGTTTCATGACATATCCATATTTAAGGTGCAACATGAAACTTGGTCACATTCCTCAACCCCCTACCTGAAACGTGGGGTACTTCTCCCTACTTACAAGCTTTTCATTTTAACTGAGCATGGCTATGCTCGCACATCTGCGGTATCCATTCACAGATCAATTCAGAAGGAACTGTGAATGGAAAGACAAGTCCCATCTGCTACCACAGCAAAGGATCTCAATGGAGATCTCAATGGAGCACAAGTGTGGTGACATCACCACACCTGCAGTTTAGTGTTTATTTTTGCCAGCCCCATAACAGAAGGTCCATACCCCTGTATGGACTGTATGGACCTGAGGCTGGGGGAACAGTGTGCAGGAGTCTGTGCATTGCATCTACGATGCTGTGGCACTTCTAATTGATCCCCAATGTCTCCATAAAGAGTACTGTCATATGCCCAATGCTATCACATTAGGGGCTTGTGATAGCAATGAAGATAAATAAAATAAAAAATAAAAAAATTTACAGCAACCCCATACACTCCCACGCAGCATAGGGCAACCACATACAGTATATATAAATATATGTAGCAGGCTCCTTGTATCAGAGGATTCAGAAGGAATCACATGATCAGCAGTCAGTCCTTTCTCTCTCTCTCTATTTGTAAAACCTGGGCATTCTGCCAAGTTCATGACTCATCCACTACACAGCAAAGAACGCTGGGAGGGGGAGGAAGCAGGAAGTGAAGGGGAGAACAGGGAGACACGAGGCTGGAGAAAAGACAGGGACATGTGGAGCCCGTCCAAGCAGAGGAGGAGGCACTACAGCACCCAGCACGGATAGAGGGACCCTGCTGTGTGTTCAGAGTCTGGTGAGCTGTCCCCCTGGAGAGAGTAAGACACACCATTTACACTTTGCATATAGACTGGGACATCCGCACCCCACTGCTGGGATCTCACCCATCCGGGGCCCTGTGCAAGCCACAGATCCCCCTGCCTGCTTTGCCCCTCACCACCAGTGTAATTGAGACTGTCTGCCCCGGGGACTGACACATACTGGGAGATTGCATCCTGCGACTGCCCCTGGTCTTGGGGTGCTTTGTGTTGCGTTTAGACACTGAGGTTGGACCCTCTCAGCCCAGAAACCTAATGAAATTGGATGTAACCCACACCAGCTGAAACTCCAAGAAGCCTTCAGCTGCTATTTACTTCATTGTAAGGACTAAACGTGCACCAACTAGAGCTCCACCATTACAAGGACTGAAGTGGGGGAATCTGGCTTAGTAGCCTTATTAGAGGTACCTCTTTATTGCATTCTGTTCTGACTCTGAGGTGATTTTTGGCTAACGCCCCTCAGAAGCAGAATCATACACGGGTGTGGGTAATACATTTCATTGATAGAGTATAAGTAAGTTTATTTGTTTGATATCAGTTGTATTCTGCTTAAAGTGCGGCTCTGCCATCCGGAGACTCTTGGCTGTGAAGCCCTCTAGTGGCAGACCAAATTTACTGCATTGCATAAAAGAAGAAAAGTACGTTTTGAAGTTAAAAGGGGAACCCCACCCCTCTACACTGCATTTCATTCTCCATAAAATTGTTCTTGTTTCATTTAACCCTGTGTCAGCAAATTTCTTGGCGGGGTATTTGCTATTCATTTCCAGTTGTGCCAGAGGGATTGGGTTTGCTTAGGGTTGGATCTATTGAGCGCAGGACCCATAATATATTCCAGCTTGTCCCAAGGGGCAGTGCTACATATAAATTGCAATGTAAAGTGTGATCACAATTGTTCAAAGTGAGAACAATAATTCTAGGGCCATAATTCATGATTCATTCTAAAATGATAACCTGTAACAGCTTTTAAAGTGTCGCCTATGGGAATTTTGGGTATCATAGTTTTTTGCAAATTCCACTTCCTCCACTCATGAATTCACTCACTGCCCAGGAGATTGCCAATTGATACAATTCACGATGAGATCTTCACTGTACAGATACCTCCCCCAATTAACACCCCATGTTCACAGGTACACTGAATACTTCCCACATTCATCGCCACTACTATAGACGAGGTTGCTAAACTTTTTTCTACAGCACACCTAACCATCTGCCCCCTGGACCCTGTTTCCTCTCAAATACTACAGTCACCTTCTGGCTCTTTTCTACACTCTGTAACATTTTCAATCTCTCCTTCTCTTCTGGCATCTTCCCCAACTCTCTAAAACATGCATGCACTAGTCATCCCCATACTTAAATAGCTTTCCTTGGACCTCACCAATTTTAGCAACCTACGCCCTATTTCTTTGCTCCCCTTACCCTCCAAACTCCTTCAATGCCTAGTATACAACTGACTAAGTCATCATCTCACCTTTGTGATCCCCTTCAGTCTACGTTTCACCCTCAGCACTCCGCAGAAACTAACAAATGATTTACTAACTGCTAAAACCAATGGACACTTTTCTGTACTTCTTCTTCCGGACCTTTCAGCTGCCTTTGATACAGCTGAATTGGTTTACCACAGTTGACCACACCCTCCTTCTTAAAAAATTTCACTCCTTTGGTCTCCAAGACTGTACTCTTCGTTGGTTCTCATCCTACCTATCTCACCGCACCTTCAGTGTCACTTACAATTCTACTTCCTCTTCTCCTCTTCCTTTTTCCCGGGTTCCCCAAAGTTTTGTTCTTGGACCTCTCCTACACCTCTTCCCTGGGTCAGCTCACGCAGTCTCCCATGGCTTTCAATATAATTTCTACACTGACGACACCCAAATCTATCTCTCTTCCCCTCAGCTCACAACATCAGTCTCCTCACTCATCAATAATTTACTGACAGACATATCAGTATGGATGTCACACCACTTCCTCAAGCTCAATCTATCCAAAATCGAGTTCATAAGATTTCCTCCCTCATGTGCCCCTTCTCCTGAATTCTCGAGATTGATGGCAGAACTTTTAGTCCATCCCCGCATGCCAGGGTGGTAGGTGTACTCATGGACTCTGAACTATCTTTTCAGCTCTACATCCAATCACTATCCAAAGCTTGCCACCTCAACCTGTGCAACACCTCCAAAATATGCCCCTTCCTAACCAATGCTTTTAATTCACTCCTTGGTCATTTCTCTAGTGCAACTCCCTCATTGGCTTACCTTTACATAGGCTGTCCCCCCTTCAGTCCATCACGAATGCTGCTTCCAGACTCATCCACCTTATCTACTGCTCAGTGTCTGCCACCCCTCTCTGCTGAGGGATTGACGTCTGCTCACTCAGCGAATTCAATTCAAAATACTAACAATAACATACAAAACCATCCACAACTCAGCCCCCAGCTACATCCATAACCTAGTCTCAAAATACTAACCAAATCACTCTCTTCATTCCTCACAAGACCTCCTTCTCTCTAGCTCCCTTATCACCTCTGCCCATGCTCACCTCCAGGACTTCTTCAGAGCTTCCCCCATCCTATGGAACTCCCTACTCCAATCTGCCTATCTCTTACTCTGTCTACTTTCAGGCAATCTCTGAAAACCCTTCTCTTTAGAGAAGCTTATCCTGTCTCCACCTCACAACTGTCTTTTCATTTTCTTCATCAGCTCATTCCCCACAATTATTACCTTTCATATCACTTGACCCACCCTTTTAGATTGTAAGCTCTAACTAGCTGGGCCCTCTTATTACTCCTGTACTGAACTGTATTGTAACTGTACTGTCTGCCCTTGTGTTTGTAAAGTGCTGTGCAAACCGTTGGCACTATATAAATCCTGAATAATAATTTTAAAGGATAAATTCACCTTTGGGAACATGTAACATGTTCCTACTCCTGAAGCTGCTCCCCCACACTCCCTTTGACAGTAGGTTGGGGATCTTAACCCCGTTCCTGCTGTCACTGTTTGAAAAGAGTTCTGTGAATGAATGAACTACAAGTACCAACATCCTGTGTGGATGTCCATTTGTAGTTCTCAATGAACTATCAGGGCGCTGTTGAGCGCACTAGGTAGTTCAATGTTGTTTCCTGTCAGTGTGTAACTGCCTACCCATACAAGGTACAAGCAGACAGTTTACACTGACAGTCTACAAGATCCCTGCATTGCACCTGTGATCTGATGATCGCTGGTGCAATGCTTTCCAGGTTCCCAATTAGAATAAATAAATACACTTTTTTTTTTAACCTGCAAAAAGATGTGCATTTGTTGTTTTTTATTTTTTTT